ATTATACATACAATATGTACAATAGGTATTGCAGAAAATAATGCAAATTAAATTTTATCTACACATTGGAACTTGTGTATGGGTGTACGACGTACGTACCTAATGGGTTTTTTTTTATAGGACCTTACATATAATATKTTTAACTGCTATGTTTCATGTGGGAACTTACCAAACCCCATACGTCTGCCCTACCCAAAATACGCCTCTGTGCGGTATTTTGTTTTAAAGTAAAACGTGATTATTTTTACAATTCAGCACAATATTATACATACCTATGCGTATTTTAATTCACTTTTTTTAGTGTTTTATTGTGTTRTGAATCTGAAAAGTTGGTCTATCATGATTTAGATTTTATGACGTTTGTTAAGTAACATCAATACATCATATAACATTTTATACATTTCAGAATAGATGGCATTTAAGAATTACAGTAGAAACAATGATTAATGAGTATTCTACATTTCTACGAAGATAACTAAACATTGTAGATTGATACTACGAGATAATTTCTATAGTAAATTAGTATCGTGGTAATTATTTATCATCAATAAGTAATAACTAATAAGTATGTTTAGCTAAATATAAAGGTAGTTGAAAAATCRTTATCCTCCAAATGGCTTCTGAGTATCAGAATGTCTTACGAAAAATTGTTTTTGAAAGTGCAAATTAAAAATAATAATAAATATATAATTGTATAATATACCATATTATAATGTGAGTATGTAACTATAAGAACGTTTTGAGACGTTTTCAATGTTAACGTATCAAATATAATATTAATAAAATATATGTGTAATAAATCTATTCGTTCTGCGTCGTCAATATATTAAGCAAATCAGGTCGTCACGTTATTTTAAATGTGCGGTACTTCTTCTAAGAACATAAACGAAGATGATTATGATAGGAGCAAGTTTCAACGCAACGTATGTGTTCGTGGTAATAAAAAAGAAAAAAAATGTTTTAATAAGTGGATATTACGATACGATTTCTATAATTGTAGATCGACGCTTGAGGCTATTAATCCTAAACGTTAAATTTTGTAAACAAACGATTTTATAATATTACACAAGATTAGGTAAAATGCACCTATATATATATATATATATACATATTATTACCTCAGATTTCTAGAAGATTGTAGAAGAGTATAATATTATTGTTATCAGATGGTATAGGTATCGAAAATTGAGAACCATGTGCACTATTTACGAAACGTACAAAGTAAAAGTAATTGAATTCAATACTACTACAAAACATTGTGGATATATTTTAAATATTAATTAAAAAACTAAAACGYTTCGTGTACTGCAATAATAATTTATTGCAATGTAACTGTCTATACCCTATCTACCACGGTATATCATATATATCAAATAAAACACTAAAAATGGACGTGGAACATATACTGCGGATCATCGACGATTACCAGTTACTTCTTATAATAATCGCCGCAGGATTAAGATATACCTATGATTTCAGCGTGTTGTGGGCAACAATAATAATTGAGTGTCGTTAACCTCTGAGTTGGACGCGGCTGATGCATATACCTAGTTATTGCATAATACCCACACGTTTCTGTATTAATTTCCTACTTCTTTCGGCCAAAGAAATGCATCGCGACCATAGGCCTGAATATTCATTAAAGGAAGTGGTTCTACCCTACCCATTTTAGATAGGTACTCGGATGTAACATGAACTTGTAACCTGACCTTGGCCGTGAGTTTACATACATATAAATAGGCTCGACAAGAAGAAAGTAAGAGCAATAATCTCTCTCTCACAGTTCCAAAATGGTTCTAAAACATAATACGAAAACTATGGAGCTCCTGGTGAGTAATATTTTTAGCATTGATAATTTTATATTTATCAAAATTATATTTATGAGTAAAATGCGTTTTTTGATTTTCGTTTGGACATTTTACTAATCTTTACGTTAGAGTTAAATTACAAATAATTATTTTGTGTATTAAACAATAATTAAATGTATTGTTGTTTTTAATTAATGTTTTCGTCATTTAATATTACAATATTCTTGATTTTCATCACATACATTTTGATATCGATAAAGACGCATTAAGTAAAATATTATTATTATTATTTTTATTCATGTGTAATTTTCTTTAATTATATTTATGTTTAAAAATTATAATTTATATCATATCATAATTAATACTTCTATACATTTTACTGGATTTATTTTAAACTTAATGAAGTTTTAACGTTCATTATAATAATCATACTATTTTTAACAAGGTAATCATCGAATATCCGATACATTAACGTTTAAAACCATGTCATATGGGGGTGTAACTAATAAATAATAATAGTTGGTTCAAAGTCGCGCTGTATGACGTATATTGGATAACACTCATTTTAGAGTTTAATTTACTTTCAGAAATATACCTTGATGGGTTTGATCGTGACGTGTTTGACAGTGGCTGCTGATCCATTAAAACAAAAACCACAGACATTGAATTCTTCACCTGCAAAAAACTCCCAACAGAAAGTAGCTAATGAGTTAAAGCCAGATTTTGTACCCATCCATCTGTATGCTAGAGAAAATTCATTGGACGGTGATTATAACTTCAAGTGAGATTTCAAAATTAATTATATGATTTTATTTAAYTACCTGCACATGGTTAATAAATTTAAAAGATACAATTTTCTTGGCCCTGTACCAGTTTAATTCTGTCTGTTTGGTTAACTGCTTGTTGCACATTATAAAAAAAAGTATTTATATGAATAGTGCACATGACTTATATGTGGTGCTATTATTTAAATGTTAACATTGTTTATTAATTAATTCATTATAAGAATAATGTGTTATTTAATATTTTAATATCATATAAGTACAGCAGTATGTGCATAGATCTTGAACTTTTTATATCATTTTTATATCAATAGAAAATTACGATGGTGTGGGAAGTTGGACATAATAACGTGTTGTACAATTTAGAGGTTACGGTTTGCTAGATGAAATAAGTATTAAAATATGAGTATTGAGGAATCACATTGCAAKATATGAATGAGRAATTATTTTTCCATCGTGGGATTTTATGTTTACGATTTTGGATAAATCAAATTAGCTAATATTAATTATTTACGAATTACCAAGGTATAATATAATTTTCATAATATTATGATAAAAGGAAAAATAATAGGTAACTGTATAGTAATTGTAAAACATATTTTTCAGAATAACAGTTTAATAACCTTGAAAACCYGTTATCATTATATTATATACCTATATTGTATTATACATTGTCATTTGTTGCAGAAAATATATTTTTAGCACAGTTTTGGTGTAGGAACATTTGTGTGAATTAAATTATTTCAAGTTTGAATTGAGTCATATTTTTCAAGTACCAATAAGTAATATAAATTATTTTCCATGTAATAGRGATATTTAACAATTATTTGTGCTGATAATATGGACATTTTGATGAAGWATGGATGTTAAACTTAATATAACTTCTCAGTTAAGTCCTATATTGGCTATATTATTCATAGGATACATATTATACAAATACATAAGAGCGAATATACTGAGGAGCGTGTTAGAAAAGTTTTAACCATTCCTAATTTGGCTTATTTGATTGATGTGAGTTATACCCGTCAATCGTTGCATCAAATTACAAAACATATCTAAGGTTAGCGCGTTAAAAGTAGGCAATGCAAAAAAGGTGGCGAATACATAATCTGATGATAAATTATTATTGATTGTCTATAAGTTATAACTTATAACTTATGACATACCAATTCCAAATATAACATATTTTTGCCCCTTCATAGTAATATACAAACGAGAAGTAGAATAATACCGGTTTCATTATTATATATATATATATATTTGTAATCTTTTTATAATAATTATTATAATTGCCCTCAAAATGTAYRTACAAATAATATATTATTTAATTTGCATACCAAAAAATCATATAGAATTTATTATATTTTTGTGGGTCAATTAGTTTTATTTTTAATTTAATCCAATGTTTTATTCATATCCCTCATCTAAACTTATATTTTGGACCRCCATGTGTCCGTATTTTCGTAGGTATGTACTTATAATAATATATTAGCTATTCRGTCTAAATTTAATTTTACGTTCGGTTAAATTAATGTTAGTAAGTTAAATTTAAACGTTTAAAAGATATCGATTGTGTGGAGCGTATGATATAATACATAATATATACTCACTATCCTGACACTTTCTCAGTCATAGCTTATAAGTTTGATTGTTTACAATAAAATAAAACGTTTAGAAAAGTGATGAGACTTAATTATTAGAAACGATTTTTTATTGAGTGTTTATAAAGGCTGTATTTAATTTAAATTGTACCTATAATATAGTAGCAGGAATCAGAAGTTATCCACATTCRTCTAAAAATAATAATTTTTTTCTGCGAGTCTGTGATTATCAATTTTATCACATACAATATACATGAACATACTTGTTGATTATTTTATTCTTACGTGCATGTCGTTGTAAGACATTCTAGTCGCATATTATTTGTGCAGTGTTTAATCCGGTTCATTTCATTCGTGTTGGTTAATTATTATACACACTTACATAATATATATATATACCTATTACCTATATATGATATGAATATTTTATATGCTGTGCAGATATGAAACCGGAAATGGCATTTTCGCGGAAGAACGTGGTGTCATGCTAAACAAGGGAACGGAAAACGAAGCAAACTCGGTGGTCGGCTCGTACAAGTACGTCTCGCCGGAAGGTGTACCGATAGAGGTGACGTACACCGCTGGTGTAGACGGGTTCCGAGCATACGGCGCTCATCTGCCCGTCGGCCCACCGGCGGCGTCCAATTTGCCCAAAAGTTTGGCGTACAAGAACGTCGCCCAGACAACCGCCTTCGCTCGGCCGCAGTTCAGGTCGGCCAACTCCGATTTGCCGGAMGACGGCGGACAAGCGCGGTCTGAGCAGCAGCTTCAAACGGTTTCGGAACTGCCGCCACAAGTACGGTCATCGGAGCAGCCACAAGTTCGGTCATCAGACCAGCCACAAGTGCCGTCGGCGGCTGAACAAGTCGGCGGTGGTCAAGTGGCCAACGATGTTGCGGAACAGTCGCAAAATGTGTTATTYGTGGGCCAAGGGCCTACTGAAAAACCACTGGAAATGATCGTGCATGCATCGGTCGCGGCAGCCGACCAATCGCAGGGCCCGTCGGACGGTAATACCCAAAACTATTACCAACAATTGCGCGGTCAACCCATTCCAGAACAGCCGCGACCTATACTGCAGCAGCAACAGCAACAACAACAGCAACAACAACAGCAGCAGCAGCAGCAACAACAGCAGCAGCAGTTCGTTATGCAGAGGTTCGAACCTCCTAGATCAGGTGCACCATCCGTCGTGCCCGTTCTGCAGATGATACCCCAGGCAGTCCAAACCCAGCCAAAGGTCGTGCCAGTATTGCAAAGGCTGGTGCCAGGTGGATATCAACAGCAACAGCAACAGCAACAGAAGCAGCTACAACTACAGCCTCAGTTCAACGCGAGGCCGGTACAGCAACCGCCATTCAACCAGCAGCAACCACCTTTCAACCAGCAACGACCGACTTTCAACCAGCAGCAACGTCCCGGAACAGTGCGTCAGTTCAGCATTGAGCCTCAGCAGATGTGGTACATGCCGAACAACCCGCAAGGTCGGTACTTCCAGTTGCCTCCTATGCAGCGTACATTTGGATCGCCAAAGTATTAGACTTCGTCGTCATCGGAAAGTTCATCACCATGTGGTCGAACTTACGTTTTATTCTATAACATCTTTTATTTCTGATTTTTCAATATAATATATTATACTTTAATAAGTACTTACCTACAATATATACACGGTATTTTATAATAGAAATAATATTATAAAAATTATCGTAAATATATTATTGATAAGTTATGTGTAGTATATATTGTGTATGCCTACGACTGTCGTATCATGTATTCGTGTGAAAATTGAAAATATTTAACATAAATCAATAAATTCGATCACTTCAAACGTGATCAACGGGTACTTGAATATTTGCACAYAGTTCTTTTTTATATAATATTATATATGCTTACCTGCTACGCAACAATGTTGATGACGAGCACATAATAAATGCAGAAATCCGAGTGCGAAAAAAAATGTTCACACTTAATGGAGTGGGCATGATGCCTTTCTAGGATGATGTAGGTACCCTACTTTAGGCGTGCCCGCTAATTGTATAATAATAATATTTTATTATTGTATCCGTTTTGTTAATTATTTAACAGCATTAGTTTTGTAATATTATACAGTGGGTGAACTGTGCCAATATCGGGGCAGTATACGATACAAATAGGACCCCGGTTRACATGAAAATTAAGGTTTTTGAAAACAACTTTTTATTGCATATGACTTGAAATTATTACAAGAATAATTTTTAAAATAAGTATACATAATATATGTACTGTTATCATTAATTATTTAGTTAGGAAGAAATCATTTTTTCATCAAGGGTAGGTACCTCCAAAAAGTTGGTCTACCATTTCGTTCATCTTAACTTTAAATACGTCTTGTATAAGTCATGACAAGTTAATCAYGCTTTCAAAATTTGATTTTTATTCAACGAATTCATCAAGTACGCTCATCCCCATATTTGCCATATAATAATGAATTTATTCAAATTCTGATTTTTGAAATTTTCATGTAGGTTTATCTTAGTATTCATTTCACAGTATAAGTTATGAAAGTATTTGTATTTATATCAAAAATTGAAAATTAAATATTTTAACACAAATAATCACAACAATGTAATACACTATATATTACAGTATTTAAGTACGGGCAATAAATAAATATCTTAATCGTAACTATGTATTGGTAACTAATGGACGGACTCAAATGGGATATAAATTGGTTTAAACTTATACTTCAACATTGAAAAAACTAAATTATCCATCATGGAACGGCTGATAGATGTGAATCGTCGAAATGGTTGGCTGATGGTTACTGAAAAAATGTATAATTTATCAAAGAAATCCAATGGATAAATTAATATGGAGTAAAATAAATAAAAACAGAGAATTTAAATACCTATATATTTTTCTTACTATTATTTTTATTTCAATCTAAATAAATGTTCAGAAAAATATTCTACTTAGTTAAAGAAGTAAAAATTGTATGAATAATGTACCTAACTTGTAACRACTTTAAAGCATATTATAAAAAAAAATTTCAATAACGATAATAATTTTCGTGATATTGAGAATTTAAATTAAATAGAATCATCCAGTATATACATACATGTATATATGTGTGTATGTAATGAAATGACGCACAAGGTCAKAAGGGCCAGGGAAATAGCGAAATTTCTGACGTTTATGAACGGTGGTTCAAAAAAAACTTTTTTAACGACCATATCGAATCGCACCATCTGAACATAAATGCGTACTGCATAGTACACTATAGTACTCGTATGATTAAGGTCCGTGCCTTGAGATAGTTTGAATTTTGCACAATGTTAAACACTAATACAGTACTTTACACCCAATCTTACTACATTACATAATATTATAGTATATAATATATAAATTTTATGTTTGTTTATTCGTCCTCTACAGACTCAAAAACTATTCGTCTAACTAGATTGTTTTCAATTAAAGTTATATCAATAGATTTTTGAAAACTCTGTTTAACTTCGTTTTTTATAAATCTAAATAAGCCATTATAGAGTGTGAGCTAACACGTGCGTTTTGTTTCGGCTCACCTTACAAAAATCGAATATTGTTTTGTATAAACATCATATTACATGGTTGTCATTGGTTACAGACAATAAAAAAAAAATTATTATTGTTTAAAATTTTCAGTATTTATTGTATTATGTGTTGGCATTTAGACTTAAATGAATTTAAAATTAAGTTAGGTACAACTATTATACCATTTGTATTAGAGGTGAAGTGCGGGTACGTTGAGGTCTATGCACCAAAAACATTTTGCCAAAAGACAACATTGAGAATATTTAAACTGAAGCCAAATGAAATGAACATGCATGGTCGCCGGTCGGCTAATATATTATATTACATTATTAGTAAATAGTTGAATAGTTATTTAACTAACTAAATGACGCATATGTAAACTCTTATTTTTTTTATCAAAAGGCACCACATTGTCTACACATATTACTGAGGATTTTTAAACAGGCCGTATAAGAGTATTAGGGTAGAATTCACGGGGAGTAAAAGCTATACATCTATCACATATAAAAGGCAAAGTGTATACTGTATATTGCTAAGGCTTATAGAACAAAAAAGTGTTGCACTGGTTATAACGATTCAAGTGAAATTTGGACAATAAATCGAATCAGTTATCTTAAGGGCGGTTTACCCGCTGTTAACAATATTAAAATCATAACCACATATTCGTTTATTTATGCTTGTAATTGGTTCACGTAAGAAAAAAAAGTTACTTATAACACTATTCACCACTGGTGAATTGCACGACTCGAGGATTCATTTATCCCCTCGGGCAACTACGCTTACAGTTCGTATTATATAAAATATAAATAAATAAACCACAAGTGCATCGTCTACAACGACGTTAACTTTTACTATAAGAAATCGTAAATTATAACTAAATAACTTTTGATTTACCTACACTGGCCACTAGTCATTATATTATACACTATATGTTGTACATTATATTCTGTTGGGCCGATATTATTATATGAAGTACCTACTCAGTACATAAATCCCGTGCCGTACTGTCCGCACGACTTTAAATATTATTTTTTTTCAATTGGCGTTTATTATGCTTAGTATTATAAATTACGAAGTACCATCATATACTATACGTATACAGGTATATATATGACTATAACGAAACCCAATTTAATATGCGCTCGGTATCAAGATGACTTATTTATAATATGATTACGTCATGCGCGTACGGGGCTCGTGCATTCGACACCTTCAAAATAATAATAATAATAATAGTAKTAGTAAAAAGAAACCAGTTCTCTTGATATATTTATTATTACTACAATTATTATTGCTATTATTTTGCACCAAGTGTGATCACGTCTAGTATCTACCGAACGGAGTTTTGATTTTATTTTTCATAATATAGGTAGGTAGATATTAAAAGCAAGAGCATCGTACAAGAGCACGGTGGCATATCGATGTCACGCAACGTACCTACTGTGTTGCGCGCGCGTGCTTGTTCTGGATATCGAGTGGYGGTTGTTCGGCGTAGGTAGATTCGCTAATTTTATCTGGGCCGATTCGCGGAGCGCGTGATGATCGACAAGGTGTTTCACAAGACGAAGAGCACAATATTTATTATTAAAATGTACTCTGCTGAAGCATATATGTATGTCCGTTATACTCCTCCGCCGCGTACGCCATAATAATATAATACACAGAGCAATAATAATAATAATAATTGCATCGTAATGGTACGAGATTTATTTCTTTCTATTATCCGCCCCCTGCAGTCTCAATGACCGCGACGACGATGCGAACTGAAGCGAGACGACCGTGCATGTATCATTATCATGACGTTCCAAATATAAACGATGGTGATTGGTTGATTATGTGTTTTTTTGTATCGGTTAATATATAGGTATCATATTAGAATAAGCGCAAACAGGGAATCAAACCAAAATGAGCTCGAGCTTTCTCATTTTGTWAGGACTGATGTAATTGGTACGGTTCAAATTTGTTTGTTTTTGTGTTGCATAAAAAAAAGTCTAATCACATTTTGAATTGAATCCAATCAATTTAATAATATWCATTGTGACTTTAAGTGGTGCAGTGTCTGGCTACACTTACAAAACGTGATCTGAGCGCCAACACCGGTCGGTGCCACTRTACTTTCCCCATGAGTTCTTGATGGTGAAAAATCCTTGTCACACATACTTTTGTTTCAAATTAACCATACCATCCCCCCCATTAAATTATTAATTTGGGAGGGAACTTATATAATATTACGTAAGTTACTTAATCATATTATTATTTTGTGCTTACTTGTAATGTTTTGTATGTCGACTTGCTAAGCTCCGGACCTTTGCCTCTCCACACATCGTCCACAGTAATTATKCTATATTCTAGAGTAACTAATATTTTCAAACAGTWAGTCTTATAACGAATTTTCTAGAAAACAGTACTTCGGTACATATTATAAATTTTATTATAATGGCTAATAATCGCAAATCACAAAATATGAAACTGATTCTCTTGTTAGATATCACGAGTCACGACAGTCGTTTGAAATAGTGCGATTATCGATTTATAATTACCCGCATCAGTATTGTTGATTCTTTTTTAATATTAAATATTTAAATATTCTTTCACTTGTACCTATTATTAAAACTTTATTTTTGTTAACAGCGCGTGTACAGCCGCAGGACCGTCGAGTAATTAATTAGATAATAATGCATCGATAGATTAGGGGGTGGATTGATAAAGTTCCCTCTTAGCATGGGTCAATTTGCATTAGTGAACAGATATACTTGATGTTATAATGGAATGCTATTGTCTATACACAGTATAGCAGACCGACGACGGTTGGCGATTATCCTGCCTTGGCGGTAGTCGTCTATTATAACAGTGACTATACTATCATCACGCTGCGGGGGATATAAGAGAGACGTCAAAGTCTTTAATGTTACCTATATCATGCTATAGTGTTTAGAATGGCGTAGGTAATGATACATATCGCGTGCTCGTACGTGACGATCACTGCGCACCGCAGGAAGCTCGTTCGGTATATCCAACGGCCGACTCCTGAGTGAAATAAATAATTTCAATAGCAATTAATAAATGGACTTCTGATGTCGTTATTATTATTTAGACACCTCTGACCGCTATGTTATTATAGATAGTACTTCTTATACACGTGTTTTTTGTATATACTTACGCGTATTATTCATCGAGTCGAAACGACTTATTATTTTCTAAGACGGCACATTATGCTCACAGTTTCTTWGATTTTAATATTGATGTACTTTCGGTGTACCAGATACCAGCTGAGTTATTCGCATAAAAACATTAAAAACAAA